GCAGGCTCCAGGCTTGAGCTGTCAGCACAGAGCTGAACGTGGGGCTTGGACGTATGGACTATGAGATGATGCCCTGAGCCAAAGTCGAACGCTTAGCCGCCCAGGCGCCCCAGCTCTGTGTTACTTTCATTCTCAGGCTGGGCCTAGTGTGAAGCCGCTCCAGCCTTGCATCCCCCCAGCTCAGCACCCCAATGAGAGGAGCACTTCCGGTCTTTCAATGGTCTCTGCGAAAATGCTGGGCTTGAGTTTTGGCCCGTTTTCAGTCATGTGCCCACCCCTGAGCCAATCACTACGACCAGGAGAGATGCTCTGATTGGCTTAGACTTTGTTACACACCCACCCTTGGAGCTGGAGGGGAGGGGCAATCTCTCCCCGCAGCCTATTCAAATTCCTATTTCAAAGAGATTAGCTTTGAAATCAGATAAACCTGGGTTTTCCAGTATTGTTGCCCTTTTAACATTGTGATCATGGACAAATATTTGAATCTCATCTATAAAATGGGGATAAAGATGGCCTCAAACTCAAGGCTGTTATTAAGAGGAAATGAGCTCATCCATGCAAAGCATTATTGTCACTGTTATTATTACTATTTCCTAACTCTAGTACCTCCACCTCTGGGAAGCCTGCCCTGATGACTCTCTCCCCTGGAGCTGTAAGAAAATTTTCTCCCTGTGAGCTTTCACAGCCCTTTCTCTTGTGACTTTCTATATGTTATTACAGCTTCTGCTCATGTTCATGATTCCTTTTTGCCCTTTTCAACCTGCAGCCCCTAAAGGGGCTACAGTCGCTTCATCCCTGTATCTTACTAAGAACCACTGCTAACACCCATCCAGGGCTTGTTGAAAAACGAAATTCAACCAAGTAAATGTTGAAGATCTCACTGACTTTACTAAATGATTCATGAGTTGAGCAGCACCCCATCTAGCAAGGAGAAGGGCTTCCTGTAAAAAATGGGAAGTTTTTATAGTAAGGAGGGTGGGCCAAGGAGAGCTATGGAACAGAAGAAAACAAAGGATTATTCCAGGCAACACCACCTTAGGGAAAAACTGGAGGGTCTTATTATGCAGATTACCTCATCTTCCTTTGGTGGTGGTGGTGGCTTCCAGTGGTGGAGGGAGGTATGAAGAGCGCTGGGTGCGACAGATGACCTCACTGGTGCTTATCAGAAAATTCCAAAGGTGCCTGGATGGGTCAGTCTGGGAAGCATCTGATTTTCATTTTCGGCTCAGGTCATGGTCTCATGTTTTGTGTGTTCGAACCCCGCATTGGGCTTTGTGCTAACAGTGCCTGCTAATAGTGCTAATATTCTCCCTCCGCCTCTCTCTCTGCCCCTCCCTGATCGCTCTCTCTCTCAAAATGAATACATAAACTTTAAAAAAATTAAAAAAAAGAAAATTCCCAATTGATAGGTCATGACTTACATTTCTAGGGCGTTTGGTTGGCTCAGTTGGGGGTTGTGAGTTTGAGCCCCACATTGGAAATAGAAATTACTTAAAAATTTTAAATTAAACAATATATATAAAAGAAAACTTCCACTTCTGGAGAAGGGTGAAACTACGATTAGGTTAGGTATTAAACCCTGGTTTTGTAACTTGGCCTCACCCAAGTGATGCCCTTGAGGGCCTGTGGTTTTTCTTTTTAACAGGATTTACAGTTTCCAAAACTTTTCCTCCTCTGCTTTCTCATCCTGAACAAAAGCGCAATCCCAGCAAGTGTGATGGATTATTCCCACTTCCCAGATCAGGAAACTGAGGCCTGGGGGGAACAGTGACAGGCCAAGGTCAAGCAGCAAATCAGTGCATAAGAAGTTCCATGTTTCTGGATCCCCAGCACAGGATTCTTTCTGCTGGACAAATGGTTTTGAACCTAAAGTTCAATCTTCGATGAAGATCCCTGAGCCCTCCTTCCTCACCTTTCACTAGGCGATTCTTTTCTTTGTGCTTCTGAAACACCACTCTGACCAGCCCCGGTCACCGCCTCATTATGCATCTGGAACCAACTTTAAAATCCTAGTAAAAGTAGACTTTACCTCCATTTTGACCTCAAATATTCTAATGGATTAAGTTCTTTCTGGCTTGGCTTATCTCTTAATTGAGCAGAGCATCCCCTGAGGAACCAAAACTACCCCCTCAAGCAATAAGGACTTCCTGAACTAGCAAGTCACTGCCTGAAGCTGGCTGACTCCAAGATGATCCTGGACCTGACCTTTACCGCCCACCCGCAGGTACCCACCGATCTTTGGTAAACCTGGAAGTATTTTCAGCACTTTGGAGACTGGCTTTGAGATTCCAGTCCACTGCCTTCCCGGTGCTGGCCTCACGGCAATAAATCCTTTTCTGATTTCTCCTCTGTTCCTCTCTCTGCCTTTGGATTCTGTCAGCAGTGAGTGGGTGAACCTGGTCTGTTTGGGACCCCGGAAACCCAGCTACACTGGGAAGGGCAGATGAAGGCGTCTGCGCCAGCCCTGTGTGCTGGGACTGCTTTGGGCTTGGGCATAGGGTCTGGCTTATCCCTCAGCCTCCTCTGCAAGACTGCATACCTGCTCTGGACCAGAACCTGGGTGTGAATCCCAGCACTGCTGTGTGGTGCCTCTGTTTCCTCATCTGTACTATGGGGATGGGACTGCTGACCTCAAGGGCTCATCAGGAGGGTGAATTGAGCAAGGGACCAGGAAAGAAGGTGATGTGCTTCAAAGCAGTGCAGGAAGGAGGAATGCAGGAATGTCCCCTCTGACCTTGCACACGGGTGGTGGTCTTCCAGCCTCAGGAGGCCCTCACCCATGGCCCAGCCTGCCTCCATCTCCAACTTACTTCCTCGGCTCTACTTAGCTCATCATATCTTTTTTTTTTTTTTAAGTTTGTTTGTTTATCTAAATAAGCTCTACACCCAATGTGGTGCTTGAACTCAGGAGTCAGATTAAGAGCTGCAGACTCCTCTGACTGAGCCAGCCAGACGCCCCATGATTATCTTTCGGTTATCAAGTTCTCTTTCCAAAGCTTGCATCTTACTTAGCAATTCACAAACTTGCTAGCTGGCTGGGGAAGGGAATGGGTCCTATGTGCAGAAAAATTGGCCTGGATAACCAGACCCTGGCATCACTCCAAACCTCTACTTCTTGCCTGCAAATTGTGGACAATAAGGGTGCTCACCTTGTGAGGCTCCGGTGAGGTTTTAGGTCAGTGCTGTTCAGCATGGTAGCATCTAGCCCCTTGTGGCTATTTAAATTCATTAATTAAAGTTAAAGTCTTAAAAAATTTGCTCTTTCCTCATGCTAACTGCATCTCATGGGCTTACACATGGATGGCACAGCTAGGGAGCATTTCGATCACTGCAGAAAGTTCTCTCGGGCACCACTGGTTCAGACAATCTATGTCCCGCACTCCAGCCTGCGCTGAGCACCCACAGTGTGTTGGTGTAATGCGTCTGAGGTTGCACACTTCGAGGGTAGGGGCCATGATTTCATGTAAAGCTCTGCTCTGCCAGAAGCCCCCAGGAAGACCCCGCAAGGAGTGAGCTGCAGTTTCCGGGGAGTGTTGGATTGGTTGAGGACCCTCTCCTGGAGGGGGAGTGGGCCAAGTTCAAACCAGGGAGGTCAGGTTCCTGCCACAAGGCTTAATTCACTCTCCTCCTGGAGAAGGGACACTGAACAGTGAGAAGGAGCTGCAAACCGTCGGGAGGAGTTTCTAGAATTACCAGCGTTGGACTTTTCAAAGGAAAAATGACCATGTGGGTTTACAAATGTATTAGTTAGTCTCTCCTTGTTCCCTGGTACCCTCCTCCCCTCTCTCTCCTTCCTTCTCGTTCAGTCTCTCCTTCCCCCTTTCCTTTCGCTCTTCTATTTTTCCCTGAGAAGGGGAAGTCTAGATCCCAGCTTGTAAGAACAGAAGGGACGTCTTCATCCATCTGGCTTTTGCACAGGGAGGAGGAACACAAGGCTCAGAGGAGCGTAGTGACTTGCCTAAGGTCTCTTAGGAGGGCAGAATGGGACTGTGGAAACAGTTTCCCTGAAATCGGAGCTTGGCATGGTGTGGATGTCACCTGGGCCTCCTTGGAACAGGGATGGTGCCATCCACCAACCCAGCAAACCCTGAGCCATAGGCCATACTCGGCCCTGAGGGCTTCCTGGCTGGAGCAGGTTAACGCTGTGAGGCCCCGGGAACCTCTCCAGGCTCGGCCTCTTCCCCAGCTTTGTGTGTCTCCTTTTGAGCCTGCACAGAGCGTGACACACAGCAGGTGCCTCATGGACACTGGTTGAACCAAAGGGAAGAAGCGGTTCCTGCTGCTCTTGGGAGAGTTCCAGGCCGTGGAAAGGGGTGAGTCTGTGAATTCCTCACGGGAGGATGACGCTGAGCCAAGGCCCCCCCCCCTTTTTTTGCGCGTAGAGATCCCTGTGACGGTCTCAGAATAACTTTTGAGTGTGTTTTATCGAGTATTAACACACACAGGGAGAAGTGCACACGTCTAAAGTGTCCATCAGTGCATTTTCACAAAGTGAACACACCCGTGACCCTGGCACCAAGCTCAAGAAACCGAAAGAGACCGGCGCCCCAGTAGCCCCCCGCGCCCTCCAGGGTCCACCTTCCGGGGGAAGCCCCTACTGGAACAAGGTTTTCAAGTGCATATTGCAAAGGAAAGAACGGAATTTCAGGTCCGATAGAGGGCTCGGGGTGCGCGCCTGCGGGTGGTGAGATGCGTGTGGAGTGTGGGGTGTGTGGGGGGATCTCAGGGAAGGCTGCCGAGTGCGTGGGTTCGGGGATGAGTTTGCCAGGGTTTGCAGGCGGTTGGGGGGTCGTCGAGACGCGTGTGTGGGGCTTGGGGGGTTCGGGTGTGGGTCCGGGGCGCTGCTGGAGGGCTGGGCGTTCTGCTCGGGGTCGCGCCGGTGTGCGGGGGCGGTGGGGGGAGGTCGCGGGGGCGGGGCCTCGGGGCGGGGGCGGGGCCTCGGGGCGGGGCCGGCGGGCGCGCGCACGCAGCCGGCGCGCCCCCTCCCGGCCGCCATGTTGGCTGGTGTGTGGGTGTCAAACGGAGCTAGACGCGGCGGCGGCGGAGGCGGCTGCGGCGGCGGCGGCGGGGGCTCCGCAAGCTCCGTTCGCTCCCGCCTCCTCAGCGCTACCGGCGGCCGCAGCGGCGCACCCGGGCAGGCTCGGAGGAGCGGAGGTGAGCGGGGCCCGCGAGCCTCGGGGGGCGGGAGCGGGGCCCCAGGGCGCGGACCCTCCCCTCCCTAGGGCGCGGACGCCTTCGCAGAGCGGCTCCCCTCCAGCCCGCCCCCCAGAGCATGAACCCCAGCTGCCCCAGCTGGGTCCCTGCCTCAGGTGGGACCCCTTTCGTTCCAGCCGGGCCCGTCCCCACAGGCTGGAGCATGGCCCTCTCCCCACCTGGATCCCTCTTTCCGCTGCGAAGACCCCCCCTACCCCCAATTTCCCTATCGGGGAGCTTTTCCCTTTATATCCTCGGAGTCTGGGGCTCCTCTTACTCCCACCCTACCTCTAGGAGCCCTCTCCAGGCCCCCCATCCCCTACCTTTCAGCTTGGAACCACCCCGCCCCTCCTCCCCAGATCACTTTCCTCCCCACCTCGGGCCGGGCGCCCCTTTCCTCCGGAGCCGAGCCCGACCTCCCTCCCGCCCCCGTGCACAGCCCAGCCCCCGTTTCCTCCACGAGTCGGGGGAGGGGTCCCCTCTGCCCAGGATCCCATCCCGTCCTCCCTCGTCTTCGGGCTGGAGGGGGGCCCCTTTCCCTCGGCGGGGACCAGGTTCTCCCTCCCCACCCCCGACCCCCACAGCACAGCGGGGACGGGGGCGGCAGAGCCCGGCTCCAGCTGCCTTTTGTTCCGCGTGGGATGGCAGAGACCCCGCCCGGCGGTCCCGTTCGGCTAATCCGGGTGGGCTTCTGGGTGCGTGGGGGCCGGCCTCGTCAACGAGACCCTTCCTCTCTCCGCCCGTGGGGCGGCTCCGCCGGAGCAGAGTGCGCTGGGAGAGGCTTGCCCTTCCGAGAGGAGTCTGTGCCAACAGGTTTTTGTTTGCGACCTGAAGTTGGCCCAGTGGCTTTGCGGGGGGTGGGGGAGGGTGGGGGCCCCTCGTTGTCCCCAGAAACCCCAGCAGGGGCCTGTGCAAGCCCATTCCTCCACCCGGGGGCATCGCCTGGGGTCCTTTCGCTGTTTTGTCCTGGGGACGCATCTGAAATGTGTGGTTTAAGAGAGGACGGGGCCTGACCATCATTGGGGTTCAGATGGGGGAAACTGAGGTCCAAAGGTGTAGTGATTTGCCCAAGGTCATGCCGTGATACCGTGTCACTGCCAACCAGAAGCTTGGTCTCTGGGTCTTGCTTTCCATCACAATTTAGAATTTTTTAAAGAGAGGTGTTCAGGATATTATCCACCCTCCCCTTTTTTAACATTCACACAAGATAATGGGCAGGAAAAGATGTGAAGTATGAGTTCTTCCTTTCCACCTCCAGAAAATGCCCTGTGAAAGAAGAGATCGGAACAGGAGGTTAAAAGGATTGAAAAAGGTGAATTTTAATTACTCGCCCCCCCCTCCAATTACGTAAGATAATGAAGATTTGGCAGAAAACATGTACATCTCATAGCTCTAGATACCAGATGATAGGCGCTGGCAAAATCAGATACTGAATCTTGCACCAGCAGTGATTGAGTTTGTGCTGATAATTAAGTTTTCATCTGTATTTAAATGAACATCAGAAATACAGCTTGTCTCAAAATTGATCTTGTTCCAGTGAGTGTATTTGGAATAAGTGATGATGTTGGAGAAGCCATTAAGATCGGACTTTTTAGGGGCGCCTGGGTGGCTTATTCGGTTAAGCGTCCGACTTTCTCTTGGGTCATGATCTCGCGGTTCGTGGTTCGCGCCCCGCGTCGGGCTCTGTGCTGACTGCCAGCTCGGAGCCTGGAGCCTGTTTCAGTCTGTGACTCCCTGTCTCTCTGACCCTCACCTGCTCACACTGTCTCTCTCTCTCTCCTAGAAATAAATAAAAAACATTAAAAAATTTTTAAAAAAAAGATCGGGCTTTTTAGTTTATCTGTATTTTTCCTTTTATATCTTAAAGCTGACTAGTTTCTCTAGTTTTCATATTGGGTGAGTCATATTACCAGTCGCACCGGGTTTTTCTTTTGTAAGCAGTGAATGAGATACTGGCTAGTGAAGAGTTGGGTAAAGTGCAAATTATTGTGAGACACGATTCAGGATTGTATCTCGCAAGGGCCTGGACCAGGGGCAAGTTTGGATTGTCCTGTGGGCTGTCCTGATCTCTCCTGGTTGACACAGGCTTTTTGCCTCCTCGAATTTTGAGTCTGGCAGGTGAAGAGTTCCGTGGAAAACTCTTCTCTCGGCAGCGTGTGCTGTATCAAACACCGTGGCACATGTGAAGACATGTAAAACTTTCAAATGATGGTACCTGGTGTGGTATATATGCAGCCTTGAAAATGACCCATCCCTTGTAAAAAAAAAAAAAAAAAAAAAAAAAGGCTTTGTACAAATACAGTTGATGCCTCTTAACAGTCTTTCATGATAAGGTGTGGATTTCCTGAGACTTGGGATTCTGATATGAGTCCTGCAAAAGTAGATGAAGTTTTAGGACTTTGATTTGTTTTAATGGCTTGGCTCTTGCTGAACTTAAAGCATGGGCTTTTTACTTATTTTTAAAGATTTTATTAGAAGGAGGGCAACTTCCAGTTCTTTGTGAACTAAAGTGCCAAGAAATTTTCACGCATGGAATTGTTCTATTCATTCCCTGGGGAAGCGCGTTAAAGTTAAAGCTCTTTGGCAGTTGGTCTTACGGTTCCCCAGAACCTTCCTGTCGGAGTGATGGGGCCTGGATGACCAGTGATTGTCACTTTATGGCATGAGTACCTGGTGATCCTGAGCCTTGGAGAAATGAAAGGCTTGCATTTGGGGAACTTGAGGTTGGGGAGGAGATGAGGAATTTTCTAGTTCTACTCCCCTGTCTGTCCGCTGGACTTTCCATTCATGTGTTCAGTTTAGACAGACCTCTTCTTGTCAAGCCTTTGCCGGCCAACTCCCCCAGTGTTTGGGTCGCTCAAACCCTTTCCTCCAAGCCTCACCACCCCAAACAGACTTTTGGGGCACTGAGTCACGTTGTGTCTGTCTCGGGCTTTCGTGGTTCTGACATCTTTGAGGCCAGTGATGGCCCTCCCCGTCTTTGCTTACTTCTCCAGTACCCAGCTCAGGCCCTGATACGTGGTGGATGCTCAGTCCAGGTCTAGGATGTGAGTAAGTAGTCCTGGGGGCAGAGGAGCAAACTTTTATCGGTCCCCTACTACAGGCTCCACTGCTCTGGCTTGCTTTTGCAAAAACCACTACTACTGATTGGTCCGGCAGTCCTCTGTCATCTGGGTGTGTCGTGTCACATGACACGTGAGTGTCTTCAGCCACATGTGCGTATTTTCCCCGTTCTGCAGTTGAGAAAACCGAGACCCAGGTATTTAAGTCCTGTGCTCAAGGTCACACAGCCAAGTGATGGGGCTCGGATTCCGACAGGTTTGTTGGGTTCCAAAATACTATTATGCCTTTTACCTCATTGGAGAAACCGAGTCTCACAGAGATGAAGAGACTTTCGTGAAGACCTGCGGCAAGTTGACAAGGGACTGAGCGCTGTTGGTGTGAGGTCACTGAGGTCATCGAGGGTGGGAGAGAGCCCATTTTTTGTCCGCTACCTTGTGAAATGACCGTGGCCATCTGTTGAGTTTTTGAACATTGGCAAGCATTCTGATACCTTTGTCAATGGTATTTTCTTGGGTCGGAAAGAGCTTGCTCAAGGTGTCTAAAAATAGAAACTTGGGAGAAAAGATACAGTGAAATGAGTGTCCCTGCCCTTGAGTGATGTATTCCATCCATCTATGGACTTGTTTGATTAGATCCATTTTACTGTCAGGTGGTTATGTTTTTCATGTCTTAAAATGCAAAGTTGTTTCAGCAGACTTTTTTTTTTTTAATGTCATTTCATTTTGTCATTACATCGACCTATGACACAGGGATTAACCACCCATCTGTGAGTGGAAAAATGGAGGCCCAGAGAGGTTAGGTAGCCCAGAGAGGTTAGGTAGCCCAGAGAGGTTAGGCACAGCCAGAAGTCAAACCAAGGTCTGTGTAATTCCCAAACATGGGTCCCTCCTACTCCACCAGCTCCTGTATAAAGCCCCTCCGTGTTATGTGTACTCATTTAATTTAGGATACACTTGTGATCTGAAAATCACTACCAAGTTGCTGTAGAAGGTTGGGAATTGTGAATGAGCTTTCTTTTTCCTAACCTTAGGATCTGTGAAAGCTTGTGAGTTGAATGTCAAGACTTTAATGAACCAATTGAATTGACAGACGCTAGATTTAGGGTAAAAAAAAAAAAAAAAAAAAAAAAAGAGGCTTGCCTCCTTTGAACCAGATCTGCAACATTGTTAAAATGTTCCCCTTACATGCATTGGATTCTTTCTGGTGACTCATTCCCAGCATCCCCGGGGACTGGAACTGCTTTGTGCCTGGGCACAGAAAAGCCTTGCTGTGGGTGGCAAGGCTGCCTCTCAAGCGCTCTGGAGACAGAACAGGTAACTTTTTCTATTCAAAGCAGTGCTAAGAAGTGGGTGCACAGAGAGCTGTACATGAAGGGACTCCCCCGTTCCCTTCATGGCCACCCCGCTGATAAATGGAGCAGGGGAAAGCAGGCTTGTCCTGAGGGATGGCCGACCATGTAGGGCTGATGCATGATGTGGGTTTAAAAGCATCTATAATTAATCAGTTCTGAGTGCACGCTCCATCCTTCCTCTCATTCCCACCCCTCTTAAGCTAATGTCATCGTTGCGTCCTGGTGGCTCAGTAGCTGAGAGCACCAAATGGTACAGACAGTTTGGCTATAAAGCCCATGTGAGAAATAGCTTTGGAATCAGATGTGGGTACAAATCGGCCTCCTGGCTGGGTGGCTTTGAGCACTCTAATCACTGAGCTTTGTTTCCTCATCTCTGAAGTGGTGATAGCAATAACCATTCTGCAGAATTGACTAGTGTATCTCAGACTCCATGTGTGTGTCGGAATCACCCATCGGGCCCGGTGGACACGTTGCCGGGCTCCGCCCCAGAGTGTCTGATTCAGTAGGTCTGAGGGGAGGCCTGAGAATGTGCATTTTTAGCCAGTTT